AATATGCGTTTTTGCTGCCTGTTGCAGCGCTCTAGCGCTGCACGGCAAAAACGCATAAAAACTAGATGAAGCTCTCCGTAGAATTTTCGTTTTAATTTGTAAGTATTAGAAATCTCTACGTGATACTTACATCAAAATAAAAAATCACTGGATATGGTGCATATGTGAAATTTGCAATTTTTGCGGCTTTAATCAAATTGCATATTATTTTGTCCCGCTAAAGTAAATTTGAAGACAGTGAAAACGGGTACTAGAAAAGAAACCAGAAGAATTTCGACATTGGAGACATAAGCAGAAATACTGAAAATAGGATTAGATCTAAATAGGTTTAGCTAAGCCCAATGAGATAAACAACTGGACTTATTTTTATAACGTATTTAATAGATCAGATAGTACTTTCATCGTCGAAAATGGATGTAGTACTAACTGATCTATTAAATACGTTATAAAATGCGGGATAAGTTGATAATGTTCAGGAATTCCTGAAAAAAAAAGTAGCTATTTGTATGGACTTTGAATAATTGGCCTCTGTACAAAGTAAAGATCGCATACTAACTGGAGGCATGGCGCTGAAGAAGAGAGCCTGACGAGTCTGCGTTTTGGAGTTTGCGATGATCTATTGCTGGGGTCCGCAAGAACAGTTCTGATCGTTTTCATGACTTTTTCGAACCAATATTACTTCGTTGTTTGTTTCATTAATGCAGCCTTTAAAATTGCCAAAAGCATTTATTACCTTGCAGAAGTCCTAATTATGAGACTAAATGGCTTACAGCGAGCTCATTTCAAATGACAATAAATTGTAGGTTTGAAGTCTATTTCCTTGATTAATTGTTTAGGGTTATGAATATCTCGGTGGAATGGGTGAACGAGTAATCGGTTTCTGTGATCTGGAGCTCGATCCTAACATATTTCCGAAGAAGTACAAATTCAAAACTGAACCACCGAATTTTCCTCTTGAGGGCTTGCGATATTTGGGACTCATTTCAATGATCGATCCTCCACGACCGGCTGTACCTCACGCTGTCAATCTCTGTCAATCAGCTGGCATAAAGGTAACCAATAAAAACTACTCGCTGCGCTGAGCTGAAACAGCGCACTTGAAGAAGGCAGAATTTAAGGCCTCTGCTCTCTCTACGAGAGTTAGGAGGCATTCGGGAAGAAGCTCAAACAGCTATAAACGCCTCCTGATGCACAGGAGTACTCCAGTAAAACAAAATAAAGACCAGGTATAAAGTTTTCAGTAAGCCCAGTGTATTACTGTCTCTAGGCTAGGCCTAATCAAGGTGGCTGCAGATTGTAATGGTAACAGGCGATCATCCACTCACTGCCGAAGCGATCGCTCGACAAATCAATATCATCACAGCGGACAGTGTTGCTTCAAAATTAATAAGTGATAGCGACAAGTTGGAGCGTAACGAAGAAAACAAGGAACAAACAGATAAGGATCTGGGGAAGTTCGTCTAAACCAACAATTTATGTCCAACTTATTCAACAGTCGTTTTGTCGCGCCACATTTGTTTCGTAGTAGGGGCATCTGAAAACTTTTTTATAACTGCTGCAACTGAAGCTGCACCAACTGTTGCTTGCAGTCACGCTGATCCGAGCAGTTATTTCTCTACTTTCATCTTTTTGGATAAGATTTTTAATTACAAAATTTTCACCGTTGCTTCTGCAGTTTCTTCCCTTTCAGTTATTGCTTTTTACTACTTTGCTGTAGCTGTCCTGTGACAACTGAGAACTTTCAAAACGCCGCACTCGTAGGAGTCTCACTAGGAAGCGGCGATGGGTTTAATAAAGTAAAGTGGATAAATAGCTTTTTCGGCATTATTGTCGAAAAGAGTAAGTAGAAAACCAGACAAGGAACGCTAGTTTCTGGCTTATGAAATAGCTTTTTAGAATTTGATGCTAGAATTGTACAGAGCGTGCCTCAAGCAGTTGATCCAAGCTCATAGCTGTGCTGTCTGCTCTGTTCACTGCCAATCTTTTGTCCCTATGTCTTTGAGACATGTTCTTCCCTTACGATAAATGTATGAGGGGTCAGAAACCAGTTAGAGGCAGTGAATACTTCCTGGCAGAACTGTCTGCTAATAACACTTAGTGTAATCATTTCGAGTGATTTACAGATGTCGAGCGATGGTTGTTCATGGTGAGCAGCTCAAAAAACTGACGTCTAGCGAGCTGGATTACATCGTGAAGCATTTCTCATGCGTATGTGCATTTCTTGCATCCAATCAGTGCAAAAAGCACCACTAATCCCCGAAAATACAAGGTTTTTAAATGTGTGCAGTTTACAGATAGTTTTTGCGCGAACTTCGCCGACGCAGAAACTGCAAATTGTGGAAGCATTCCAACATGGCGGACAAATTGTAGCTGTCACTGGAGATGGTGTTAACGATGCACCAGCGCTTAGAAAAGCCGATATCGGTTATTTATATTTGAAAAACAACTCAAATGTTTTCATACGCTTTTGCATAGCTCACGAAAAAAGCACCATGTATGCCCAGATAGTTCAGTTCCGAAGCTACAAAAGCTACGAAACTAAAATTTCGGGAATATAGGTTTTCTATGGAATCATGTGCCTAGAAATTAATCTTCAGAGTCAAAGTCGCGGCTTAAGATTTCAACGTACTCTGATGTACCAGTACATCGGAAAGTTAATATTCAATTGATTAAAAATATTATCAGTTCTAAATGCAAGTTAATTTTACGTTTCGAAAGTGCGGATAAAAACTGAATGCTTTCTAATAATTATTTGTAATTATTAATTAAGCTTCTTGAATATGACTTTGGTCATGCTATATCTTGACATAATAACGGTTAGCTAAACGGTTTAATTATATAGAAAAACATTATTTACTTAGTTTATTCGAGACTGTGAATGAGGAAGGGGAATAGCCTGACTGGTAGCAAATGTCAATAGGAAGTACTGGCTGGCAAGACTGTCAGTGGATTTTTTTTAAGAGTTGCCTACAAGTTAATTTTTTATACAGATGATCTAAGATATTATAAAAGATAATTAGCGTCTTAGTGTATCTCAGAATAGCTTTTAAATGTGTTGAATTGATACTGAGTGTCTGAGCAAAATGTTTCAGTTGAGTTTTATTAGTATGTGTCATTTCCGTATTCAGGATTTAAAAATTCCAGTTAAATGTAACATTTAAAAAAGTCTTATAGGTGTTGCAATGGGTATTGCGGGCACGGATGTTTCGAAGGAAGCGGCTGATATGATTCTTTTGGATGATAATTTCGCTTCAATAGTCACGGGAGTTGAAGAGGGCCGAATCATTTTCGACAATTTGAAAAAATCAATCGCCTACACGCTCACCTCTAATATTCCTGGTCAGTACTGTAGACTCCTGCCAAACGATTTTCATCATAAAAAACAATGATTTAATTTTGCAAATGATGTGAAAAAGGCTGATCATTTGTGAAAGAAAGTATTTGCGCGTTTATCTCTTTGAAGGTTTAAGAAAAATCGAATTTAGAAATTACGCCTTTCTTGACATATATTTTACTTGGCATTCCGCTTCCGATGAG